GCGATACACAAAAACAGTGTTAAGAATTCAGTTATTCTGCATCCATTTTGTTCACTGCTTTGTCTATCTCTTCTTCCGTAATCTCTTTATTCAATCTTTCTCGTATCNTCCTTTTCAGTATTGGTAAAAGAGTTCTCTTCATTGATTTGTAAAATCCTGCTGTAAATCCATCCGGGCCTGAGGCCTTGTCTGCGTCCATTTTATTCACTGCTTTGTCTATCTCTTCTTCCGTAATCTCTTTATTCAGCTTTTCCCGTATCTCCTCTGAGATTTTTTGTAGTTTCAGTTGACTTATATACTCAGTAATTTCCTCTTTCTTTATTCCGTCACTGGTGTATAATTTACTATAATATTTCTTAAATTCCTCCATGATTTCCTTATCCGTCATAAGTGTTCTATCTCCCTCTATTATTTTCGTTATCTGTGTGGCCTGCTTCTTCTTCCGGACTTGTCTCGCCAACCATTTCCCAGATCTATTCGCATTCTCAAACGTTTGCTGTTTCAAAAATTTTAGCTCTCTTGCTTGTCTTTCCATCTCCAGGCGGGACTTCTCCTGTTTAAGTCTCGCTAATTCTTTATTCAATTTTTTACTGTCCGGTTTCTTTTTTAACTCTGTCTCTTTATGCGCAATTTTGTTCATCACTTCCTTCATTTGTTTATTTCTTTCTTTATTTTTCCTAGCTCCATGTTGGATGAGGCAACCTCTTAACACAGCCTTCAACGCGTCCCACGTTACTTGTGTCTTTGTCTCCTCGATATCATTAATTTCTAAATAGTCTTTAATAATTTTATTATAATGTATTTTATCTTCCTCTGTCTTAATCAAGTTTTCATTTAGTCTCCATTTTCTTTGGAAATTCTTATAGTTTATTTTTATTTCCAATGGACAGTGGTCTGAGATGTCTCTGGGTAATATTTCCATTTCTACTACCTTAGTAGCTAAGTTTTTTGTAATCCACGCCAGGTCTATCCTTGACCATGTTTGGTGTCGATAAGAGTAGAAGGTATAGTCCTGTTTCTTTTCGTTTCTAACTCTCCAAGTATCTTCCAGATCAAATTCTTTTTGAAGTTCGAAAATTTTTTGCGGTAACAGCCCCCCTCCGTCTCCATTTCTTTTGGACTTATTCTTGTCTTTCTTCTTATCCATCACTCCATTAAAATCTCCTATCAATAAGAGCTCATCAAATTCTGTTTCTCTCAATTTTGTAGATAAAAATTGGATAAATTTAGTCTTTGGGCCATTTGGAGCGTATATATTACATACCAAAATTTTCAGGCTACCCATCAAAATTTTAACTGCAACACATCTTCCTTCCACATCCTTAAATGCCAATTCCGGTGCCAAATTTTCCTTTTTATATGCGACTACTCCTCTTTTCTTCTTTTCGTATGATGAATAAAATGTTTTACCTAATCTTTTATTTTCCAGATGTGCCACATGTTTGTGGCAGATATGCGTTTCTTGTAGTAATATGATGTCTAGGTTTGCCTTTTGTAGTTTTCCGAATATTTTTTTCCGTTTCTGGGGCGAGTTCAGACCGTTAATATTGTTCGAGAAGCATTTAATTTGTCTTTCCGCCATTTTATCCAAGTAAATCTGTATCCTGTCCTATATCGCCCAGATTCAGTTCCGAAATTCCTTGCGCTGTCACATCCGGTCCATAAGCTCCTTCTCCTAGATCTTCTGATATTGGTACACTACTCCCTTGACTTTTGCTGAATCGCCTGTATTCTTCTGGGGTCTCAATTCTTGGTTTTTTCTTCTCTTTGCCATTGCCATTTCCATTTCCCGGTGTCAATGCCTTTTTATCTCCTTTCCTTTCTCCAGGTTTTTCATCTTCTGATTCCTTCATTAAATTCTCGTAAAAGGTCTTGGCCTTCTGCTCCGATGTCAACCAATATCTTTCTTCTTTATATGTTACCATAATACCTTCGATTCTTTCCCATCGGAATCTAATTGATCTTTTCTTAAGTTCATCCGTAAGGAAGTAGTACTTTCTTCTTCTACTTAATGTCGCTTGTGGGTATTCTTTCAGAACTGCAATCTTGGTCTCTTTATGATAGATTGGATTTTTGTTGCTTCTATATAGCACTTCATCTCTAGTTTTTTTCCGTGTGAATTGTACTATCACATCTCGTGGCGTCTTATTTTTCCTTGAGTAGAATGAAGAAACTCGATATATTTGGTCTAACTCCACCTCCAACTCATCTTCTTCACATTCTAGACATTTGGCAATCAAATTTGTCATCAACTGGCCAATATCCTCCTGCTTCTCTTCTTGAATATTTCTGAATCTTAGGTAGTAGTCCATTTGTTTTTGTAGTAATTTTTCTTGCTCCATTTCTATTTTTTCCTTTTGTCTATCTATACCTTTTATTCTCTTCAGCATATGGGATTGTGTTTCCTCCATCTTTTCCTTACTGGTTTTCAGCTCTTTTACTTCTCCATATAGATGGGTTATATCTTTTTTTATTTGCCCAAATTCCTCTTCCATTTTCTTTTTCATTCCTTGGAACTCTTCCGTCATTTTTTTATAGTTCTTTTCTTGCTTGTTGAAAAACTCTTCTTGTTTATCCGCCATATCTTTTTTTAATGAATCTTGTTTTTCCGACAATTTTTTAATTTCCTTCAAGATATTTTCCATGTTGAGGCTGGTATCAAGTGATCCCCTTCTTATCTGAATCTTCTCCTTCTCTTGTTTCCCTTTTGATGACATCTACTCTTTATTATTTACAATAACAATTTCTAATCAATTTATATCTTCTAATTCATTAAACTTTTCAATGTATATTTCCAAATATTTATTTGTTAATTTGACTTATTTACTTTATAGTTTATATATATATATATATATATATATATATTCCTTTAATTTATCTTCTTCAATTTTATCTATTTAATTTTATTTGGAATTAATTTAATTCGAAATTACTTCAATTTAAAATTAATACAATTAATTAATTCAATTTAATATTCAAAATTCATTCAATTTAATATTAATTCTTATTTATCCTCTATTATTCAGAACTTATTTTCCCTTGTTTCATTCAATGTCTTATCTTTCCCGGTTAGTTCTCCAATCTTTCCCAATCTTCTTTAATTTTCCCTGACCCCGCCTGACACACTGCCTCGTTTTCTTTCTCCTCCGCTATTTTCGTCTACTTCTCTTCCTGGATTCTCGTCTGCTTCTCATCCTGGTTCTTGTCGTTCGTCTGCTTCTCTTCCTCGTATCTCCGCTACCTTCGTCTGCTTCTCTTCCTGGATTCTCGTCTTCTTCTCGTCCTGGCTTTTTCTCCTCCGTCCGTTTCTCTTCCTCAGTGTATCTATTTCCGTCTACTTATGTCTATTTACTTCAAAAAAAAACTCAGTATCTACCGTTCTTGCCGCTCCGTAGCGGACTTTTTCTATGGTTCTTCCTGCTTCCTGCTTCCGCCCTTCTTTCCAGCCCTTCTTTCCAGCTCCTCTTCCGCCCTTCTTCTTTGTTCCTCCTCTTCCTTTCCGTCACTTCCCTTTCCCCTCTTCGTCACTTCCTGTGTTCTCTTTCCAACTTTGTTTATGAAGAAGGGGAGTCGCTAGCCATAACAATATGGCGCCAAGGTCGTATATTCTTTCATCTCTTTTTCTTTCCCTGATGGAAGGGGGAACGGGGGAAAGGGAGGGTGGTTTAATCTTCCTCTTAATTAGTTCCAGGCTTTCAAAGCTCTTATCCCTCTCCGAACCTCTCCTCAAGAATGGCAGCTAATATTTAATATTTAATATTATTATATTCCTTAATAAGATGTTTCCAAATTGTCCATTTGCTTCCTTTCTTTCCGGATCACAATTAAATTTAGTCTTCACAGTCTAACATATAGGTTCTTTCCCTTATCTTCTCTCTCTCTTTAACTCCTCTATTCCTTTTTCTCCACTCTCCAACTTTATTCGTTATCCAGAGATACACTCTCTGATTACCTGATGGTGAGATCTTATTATTATTCTCCTCCGAGAGTTCTTATTTCTTTCTTCTTATAATATTGTGCGGGCTGGCTGCGGTTAAAACGGGCTTTCGCCCGATCCCAGCGGGGCGCTTGCTTCCCGCCGGCCCGGACCCTCTCGACCCCCCCTCCTTGAGGGAAGGGGGTTCTTGGGGTTCTACGAGCCTCTGCGGGTTCGCTGCACCCTTGCCTTCAATCCGGCAAGGGTGGGGGAGCTGTAAGCTCACCCTTAGGCACCTCTACGCTGGTCCCCCGTCGGAGCTCCCTCTCAACGAGGTTTGCCCGTCGCCATTACCCACCGGAAGTCCCCTCCTTACCATTTTTAGATAAGCTGTGACAATATATTTGTGCTGCCCAGCTTTTAATATACTGCCTTTATAATGCTTTAATATTATTGCTTACTTTAGCTCATTTATTGGTTATGCTGTTATACTTGCTTTCGAGTTTTATATTAATAGACTTCGAATACCACTCTTGATTACTGCACTTCATCCCATGTCTTAGTTACAATTTGCACTATCACATTTCCTTGTCTTGTTTACAGTCTGGCCATTCCTTGTGGTAGTTGTCACCATAGGCTATTGGGTATTGTTCTGTGTTTTAAATTGTTGTTTTTATATATTATATGTTTTACTTTATTGTATTGTATTGTATGTTTTTATGCTCAGTTTTAGGCACTTTGTTCCATATGTAAGCCACCCTGAGTCCCTTGGGGAGATGGAGGCGGGATACAAGAATAAAGTTGTTATTATTATTGTTATTGGATTACATCTTTGTTCCCTAGCCATAATGCATATTCATGCTTCTCCTGCATATAGTGCATATGTCGAGTATTTCATCTTTATTCAGACATATTTTAGATTTGACCAAAATGGAATTAATTTTCTCAGTTTACAAACACTATATTATTTTTTTATTTATCCATGTTAAACAAATTAAATACAGTACCCTTTGAATATAAATCCTAAAGATTCTTAAAGTACAGAATTTTGAACAGGCAATTCTGTTTATTTGATGCATTCTAGGTATGTGGTAGAAGTGTTGGGACTGGCAATGGCTTTCATTGAAAAATTAGAAAGCCATCTAGCCACAGTAAGAAGCATTCCTGATTTACCTGTAGCTGTAAAAAACATGGTAAGTAACTCACTTGAAAGCTTTCTTTGATAAGAATGATTTACAGCTGGTAAACAAACAGTATTGTTTAACAGCATGAAATTTGATCTTAGGCCCTTTCTACACTGCCATATAATACAGACTATCAAAGCGGATAATCCACATTATCTGCTTTGAACTGGATTATATGAGTCTATACTGCCATAACACCCAATTCAGAGCCGATAATCTGGATTTTATATGGCTTTGTAGAAGGGCCCTTAGTGTCTGCAATTCGGATCTTAGCTCAGCAGTGGACTTCTGCGTCGTCTCAGGTAGTTTTTATCCCTTGGCTTCAGAGTTCTGTCGTAACAGAATGGGCCAATGATAATTTTATGCCAAGCAAATGGCAGGAAAGGAGTGGAAAGCGTAGCGTGTCATACTTCATACTGAACATCCCCTAAAATATGACAGGCTATATATTTGTCTCACACCAAAGCAGATGACATTGTTTTATTGTTTTATTGTTTTAATTAGTGTTATATGTATTGTTTTTAATGATTGTTTTGTATTTGATTGTGTTATATTATTGTAATTGTGATGCAGCGGTCTTGCACGTTACTAATGTAAGCCATCCTGAGTCCCCCTTCAGGGGTTGAGAAGAGACGGAGTACAAATGCCAGTAATAAATAAATAAATAAATAAATTGAAGGGGTTTTTTTTTCTGGAATTAGTGCTGAATACTAATAAGTTACAGCAGTTTCACATCACTTCCATAATACTTCATTATGCCTTTTCATGTTACTGAAGTTTTTGCAAAGCCTGCTAAAGTAATTCATTGTCATATTCTAGGACAGTGCGCTAGCAAAAATGGATTTGCTTGTAGCAGAGACTGAAGACCTTGCAAATCAAATACTGGAATGGAGAGAAAAACAAAAGGAAACCCTGAACAATTCACAGGCGACTGCTGAATCAGACTCCTGGTTCCGAAGTATACAATGATCTATTTTATTGTCCTTTTCTTATTCCCATTTTAATTAATATTTTATTAATATTGTAATATACAAAAGCAGAGGTTACTGTACAAATAATTCAGAACTAAAACAAACAAAATAGACTCTGTAAATACAATAAGAGTGTAAATACAAATTCCCAAGTTATGTAAGTTTTCCCTATTTTATTGCAGGTTCCTCCAGCATCAGTCAGTAACAGTTGGTGGCAAGACAGCTGGTCTGTTTTGAGTAGAAGGGGTTGGTCCAGAATTTCATATGGACCTTTAGAGGTCCACACTGTTTTGTATCATGAATTGTGTGCACAATAAATAAATACTAAATAAATAGCTATTTTGTCTTCCTCTGTCCTTTTAAAAATTTTATTTGATAAATTAGGTTTTCCACTAATGCTATTTTTCAGGCTATATGTGAAAGACTGACACCATATGCAGGCAGTCTTCAAGTCACAAACATTCGACGTACAAAGGACTAATAGTTACAAACGGGGGTGAGACAACAGGAAGTGAGAGAAATCCACAGCTAGGAAGGGAAATCCACTTCTGAAGGAATTATGATGGGGAAAAGGTGTTTCCACTGAAGCTTTATCACCAATCCTTGTTTCCACAATAAGCCATTTTATAGTCAATCCCTTCTTTGTGTAATGAAGATACAAATAGATATAGTTGTGTGCATAGAAAGTATAATTGAAATGTGGCATTTAGTCATCTTTAAGGTAACTTTCAGCTCATAAAGATGACCCATAGTCTAAACTGTAAAATTACAACAGCAAAACAACAGAGGGAAAACAATCAGGCACATCTAATCACCTGTCAACAAAAGATTGCCCCAGGCACTGCCAGGCCATCAAATGCTAATCAAGGTGGTCAGTGGAAACATTCACACCTAGCTCCAACAGACAAGAGTCCTTTGTCCCACCCTGGTCATTCCACAGATATATAAATCCATTTTCCTAGTTCCAACATACCTCACTACCTCTGAGGATGCTTGCCATAGATGCAGGCGAAACGTCAGGAGAAAATGCCTCTAGAACATGACCATATAGCCCGAAAAAACCTACAACAACCCAGTGATTCCAGCCATGAAAGCCTTTGACAATACATCAAATTATGAATGTTGTAGTAAAACACATTTGGAATGCTCCAAATAGAGCAAGATATTACTTTGATGAATTTCCATGTAAATAGTCTGTAAATGGATCTATTTAATAACGAGTGAGTTGCAGAGCACCAAAGAAAACTTTGGAAAAGCTAGATCAAAGTAGCCAACAGTTGTGAACTTTCTGACATCTGTGTGGTTGGGATTCTGGTCTGTATTTAATAGTTTCGAAATGTTGGATGTTGTCACTAGAGGGCACAACGTCTATATAACTTCTATGTTAATTTACAGCTGCATTATCTTTTGTAGCATTAGTTTATGCTGTATTATACTATTTTGATTTCAACTTCAGGGAAGCCAGTGTGAGTATTAATATGGACTAGAAATGCTGCTTAGGCATTTCAAAGTATATTTTAATACTTTCCTGGGTGAGCAACTGCTGTCATCTGGAAGTCTGTGCAATGCTAAGATTGAGTGACTACTACTTTGTGAGCTTCAAAGTGAACATGTGGGGTAAAATGCTGTAAAATCTCTTTCTCAGCCTCGAAGGGGACTCGGGGTGGTTCACAGTGTTGGCAACAATTAAATGCCATTGGTAAAAAATGTATAAAACATCAAAATTGACCTTCCCCTGATTAAATATTATTAAACACAGCACATTAAAAAATCACATATCACAAGAAATAGCTATTGCCGATTAACAGTCCTGGTCATTGCACTTTTAACTTCCACTTTAAATATTCTTGGTTCCATAGCCAGATCTTGAGCTGTCTCCTAAAGATCAGGAGGGAGGAGGCCAGCCTGGTCTCACTCAGGAGGAAGTTCCACATCCATGGGGCCACCACCGAGAAGGCCCTGTCTCTTGTCCCCTACTCTTGCAGAGGGAGCAGGCCTGTTTTCTGCTGCCCTGGTGACTTGGGCCCCTTCCTGACTGTGAAAGCCATTCAGCAGTGGAACTCTCTGCCTCAGAGTGTGGTGGGGGATCCTTCTTTGTAGGTTTTAAAGCAGAGGCTGGATGGCCATTGGTCGGGGGTACTTTGAATGCAATTTCCCTGTTTCTTGGCAGGGGGTTGGACTGGATGGCCCATGAGATAGAATCATAGAATCGAAGAGTTGGAAGAGACCTCATGGGCCATCCAGTCCAACCCCCCTGCCAAGAAGCAGGAATATTGCATTCAAATCACCCCTGACAGATGGCCATCCAGCCTCTGTTTAAAAGCTTCCAAAGAAGGAGCCTCCACCACACTCCGAAGCAGAGAGTTCCACTGCTGAACGGCTCTCACAGTCAGGAAGTTCTTCCTCATGTTCAGATGGAATCTCCTTTCTTGTAGTTTGAAGCCATTGTTCCATCCTAGTCTCCAGGGAAGCAGAAAACAAGCTTGCTCCCTCCTCCCTGTGGCTTCCTCTCACATATTGATACATGGCTATCATATCTCCTCTCAGGCCTTCTCTTCTTCAGGCTAAACATGCCCAGCTCCTTAAGCCGCTCCTCATAGGGCTTGTTCTCCAGACCCTTGATCATTTTAGTCGCCCTCCTCTGGACACATTCCAGCTTGTCAATATCTCTCTTCAATTGTGGTGCCCAGAATTGGACACAATATTCCAGGTGTGGGCTAACCAAGGCAGAATAGAGCATGGGGAGCAGATATTTATGTCCTGCTTGACATGGGGCACTGCTAACATGAAGGCAGGTATAAAACCATACATGTGAAGTTTGTTTCCAAAAGATACCAACTCAGTCTGAACCAATTTGATAGTAATCGCAAAAAGTTTGTTTCCAAAAGATACCAACTCAGTCTGAACCAATTTGATAGTAATCGCAAAAATTTTGCTATAAAATATAATTTTCCAACCCCAGTACCAAAGTGATAACAGCTTAAGCAACTGAGGGAGAAAAGCAAGGGGCCTGAGGCTGTTAGGAATGCTGGGAGGTGAAGTCCAAAACACCTGGAGAGAGGGCCCAAGTTTGCCCATGCCTGCGCCTGGTATGACTGGGCGGTTTCCCATCCAAGAACTAACCAGGGTTGGTCCTGCTTAGCTCCCAAGACCTGATGTCTTTGAGGCCTCCTCCTCAGTTCCTGCACCAACAGTTAAACTGGGCCAGATGTCATAAAGTAGAGCGACTCTGTGAAGGGAGGGAGGGAGGGAGGGAGGAGGGGGCGCAAATGGGAGCCATCTGCAAAGAACCCGACAGAAGGAGGAGGAGGAGGTGGTGGAGGAGCCCCTCCCTGTTTCCTCTGGTCTTCCCAAGCGAGTGAACTGGACAGAGGAGAGGCGTGCTGCCTGGCCCTTCCCTCCTCTTTCCCTCTTGCTTTCCTGCCTTCCTTCCTTCCTTCCCTTCTTTTGCGGACCTGCGGGAGGGACGGCGATGTGATGTTTAGACGGGGCTCAGGCGGCTTTGTGGCGTCGACGACGGCCCCCTCTCCTCCTCTTCCTCAAGGGACTCTCGGAAGGGGACATGGCGAATGTCAAAGTGGCCGTCAGGGTCCGGCCTCTCAGCAAAAGGTTGGTGTGGAAAGAAGAGAAGGAAAGCAAGGCGCAATCTTGGGCATGTCTTGTGTGTTTCTAATTCTGTAAATCCCCACCAAAAAAACACGAGAGGTGGGCTTCTGCCTGGGAGGGAACGCAAAGCTTTGTGTGCTTCGGAGTTTTGTTTTGTTGGTTCCTAATTGCAGATTAGAGCTGCCAGAGAGACATGTGCCTGAGGAGAAAGCCGAAGATTGAGGCGAGAAAGAGACCGCGCTGGAGCCTTAATACACTTTGAGACCGCTTTAACTTCAACGGGTCAATGCTACAGAATGAGGGGAGTTGTAGTTTTGGAAGGTCTTCAGATTTCTCTGCCAAAGAGAGCTGGTGCCTCACCAAATTTGCATTCCATTGCACGGAGGATGCATCTATGCTATGGAATTGATGCAGTTTGACACCAATGGGCCATGCTATACCAGGCATGGGCCAACTTGGGCCCTCCAAGTGTTTTGGGCTTCAACTCCCACCATTCCTGAGAGCCTCAGGCCCTTCCCTCTCCCCCCCCCCCCTCAGCCTCTATCTAAGTGTTTTAGGCTTCAACTCCTACCATTCCTCAGAGCCTCAGGCCCTTTCCTTTTCCCTCTTAGCCTCTATCTAAGTGTTTTGGACTTCAACTCCCACCATTCCTGAGAGCCTCAGTCCCTTTCTCTCCCCCCCCCCCCTCAGCCTCTATCCAAGTGTTTTGGACTTCAACTCCCACCATTCCTGACAGCCTCTGGCCTTTTCTTTCCCCCCTTAGCCTCTATCCAAGTGTTTGGACTTCAACTCCCACCATTCTTGAGAGCTTCAGTCCCTTTCTTTTTTCCCCCTCAGCCTCTATCCAAGTGTTTTGGGCTTCAACTCCTACCATTCCTGACAGCCTCGGGCTCTTTCCTTTTCCCGCTCAGACTCTATCCAAGTGTTTTGCACTTCAACTCCCACCATTCCTGACAGCCTCAGGCCCTTTCCTTTTTCTTCTCAGCCTCTATCCAAGTGTTTTGCACGTCAACTCCCACCATTCCTGACAGCCTCAGGCCCTTTCCTTTTTCTTCTCAGCCTCTATCCAAGTGTTTTGGACTTCAACTCCCACCATTCCTGATAGCCTCAGGCCCTTCCTGAGCTGAGTGGGAAAAGGAAAGGGCCCGAGGCTGTCAGGAATGCTGGGAGTTGAAGTCCAAAACATCTGGAGCGCCCAAGTTGGCCCATGCCTATTCTACAGTGTAGATGCGCCCTGTCTCAATCTCACTTCCATTCGATGGTGTGGGCTATTTCTAAACAGGACTCAGAGATGCACGCACGCACCCACGTAATGCACGAATGGGAGGAGAAAGGGCAGAGCATGACAACAAAAGGGGATGGGGTTGTGTATGCGTTAAGACAGTGCCTTTCGAAAAGTGTGTCATATTTCATTGTATTCTGATAGTTCAGAGGACTTTCTTCTCCATAGTAAATTAGTGTCTTGGCCCGTGTAAGTCCTACATCATTACAGTGTTCCATATCTGTTATTATAATCAGATTTTGAGCAGTTCAAATTCAGGCTCCTAACTGACTAAACTATTTATGTATCTTGTCTATCTGCAGACATAGTAAGCTCAACTTATACAGAAAGTAGAAAATAATAGAATTCAGCATATAATTGTATAAACTTGTTATACTGCTCAAATTCACAGTAATCACAAACAATATTATATGCATTTTTGTACAATCACTCTGAAATGTTATCAAC